ATGTTTTACAAAAATTTTTTTCACTTGAAAATGTTCTTTCTGAAACTTTTGACTATATGACAACTTTAAAAAATAATAGTGGCGTAATAACTAATTTCATACAAGGTAGTTACTGGCAAACTCGAATTAAACATCATGAAGGACGATTAGTACTCCCTCTTTTTATGTTTTTTGATGACTATGAGAGTGGAAATGTTCTTGGGAGCCATTCTGGTATCCATAAGCTAGGTGCAGTTTATGTATCGATACCATGCTTGCCACCTAACCGTTCAACTACATTGTCAAATATTTTTTTAGCATTGCTGTTTCACTCTTCTGACCGAGTACAGTTTGGTAACAGAGTAATTTTCAATTCTATTATAGATGAATTCAATTTTTTGATGAAAACTGGTGTGTATATAGATAGCTTAAAATTCAAGGGAACAATTTATTTTGAGTTAGGACTTATTTTAGGTGATAATCTTGGCTTACATGCCATTACTGGTTTTGTTGAAAGTTTTTCTTCCAATTTCTGCTGTCGAATTTGTACTATGAATAAGGAAAATATTAAAACTCAATGTTATGAAGATAAATCACTCTTGAGGTCTACAGAACAATATTTTATTGATGTAGAAAGAAAAGACTTGTCTTCTACAGGGATAAAAGAAAAATGTGTATGGTTGGATATTAACGACTTTAATTTATTTGATCAAGTTGGTGTAGATGTTATGCATGATATGTTTGAAGGATGTTGTAAATATGTTATGAGTTTCATTTTAGTCTATTACATAAAAGAATTAAAATTATTTTCCTTGGAAGTATTGAATGATAGAATTTCTTGTTATGATTTCGGGCCAGAAAGCAATAAACCATGCACACTATCTATGGAACATATTAATGTTGGTAAAGTTAGGCAATCTGCTTCTGAAATGTTAATTTTAATAAGATACTTTGCCCTACTTATTGGGGATTTTGTACCTTTAGGTGAACCGATTTGGGACTTGTATTTGACTATGCGTAAAGTAATAGATATAATGTTGTCAACATCACTTGAGGAAAGTAATTGTACATTGCTAGAAACCTTAATAGGTGAAATGAATAATCTGTATTTAAAATACAGCAAAAGTAATCTTAAACCAAAATTCCATTTCCTTACACATTATCCATCTATGATAAGAAAACATGGTCCTGTTGTACATTTATGGTCGATGCGATTTGAAGCTAAACACAGGGTTTCAAAAATATCAGCAAGATCATCCTTCAACAGGCGCAATATTTGCTTAACTTTGGCTATAAAACATCAACTTCAGCTAAATAAATTATTTAATCATGGGAAATTATGTAGTACAGTTAATATAGGTCCTACTAAATTTATAAATCCTTCAAAACTTAGGCAAATACAAGTTGAATTGAATTTGAGAACTGAAAAACCATTAACTCGTATTAATTGGGCTGAAATTAAAGGAACACATTATAGGGTTAATAGTATTTTGACTGAAGACTTAAATGATGACAAACCAAATTTTGTGATGATAAAAAATATTTTTCTTTATGGTTCTCATGGGGTTATTTTTGAATGTTGCCTTTTAAGTACAGTGGATTTTTATGAACATGTATATGCTTATGAGGTTGAAATATTAGAATCAAATAGAAAATTTATTTTTCAAAATGCATTATTGTCGCCTATACCCAATACTTTAAATGTAGTCTCAGATGGAACTAAATATGTTACAGTTAGAGACCCTTTATAATAATTTTATTATTTTTTGTTTCTATTTTTTTTTATTGTTTTATTATTTTATTTTTTTTTTTATTGCTTTAAACTTTAAATTATTATGTACTATAATATTTTAAATTATTGTATGAATATATGCCTAAATATCTAAGTGATGTATATAAATTGTTTATATAAAATAAAACCTTTTATATTATGAATAATATATTTAATGCCTTTTTTTATTTTGATATAGTTTAATATGTATTACACATATTGAGCATCATAGAAAAAATATAAAATAATTTGCTCTAACAACAATTTATTTTGTATGTGTAACCAGTAATTATAGTACGTTTTACATAATAGTATTGTAGCTTTTACTTAAAGAACCTTATACTCAACATTAATATTTGATATTAACAACAAAATGAAGTTCCTTGTAAAAACAATTATTGTTTTCTGTAACTAGAAAAACTCAATACTTGTAACATAAAGGTTAGTATTAGTAACAAAATAATTTTCTAGATACTTGAAATATTACAATATAATTATGTTGTATTAGTATAACAGTTTGCTGGACAAACAAAAACACTCTGTGTAATTAACTAAACATTTTGTTTACTAAGTCAAATGTATTCAGTTATTAATACAAGAATCATGTTGAGAATACCAAATCAAGTACGGTTCAATTAACAAAACTATTTTGTATATCCAACGACTTAAAATTAACAAAAGTCAATTAATTTTTGCAACTAAAAATACTGTTGTCACTGAGGCAACTAAATTTCACAGTTGTAACTGCAATATTTCTGTTTCTACAACCAGACTTTTTTTTCAGTGTATACAGGATATAAAAAGAAAAAAAACCATTGTAAAACCACTAATATTTATACCACTAAAACTAATATTTGTAATGTTTGTTTTTGTCATTTTGTCTATGTTTTTTTAAGTAATAGGTTAAGGGCCGTTCTTACAATGTCCTGTAAAGTGTCGGTTAACGCTAACCGACTGATAACAGATTATATTACCGGCAGAATTCGGCCGGTTAAGTGTCGGTTAACTTTAACCGGACATTGTAAAAACGGCCCTAAGTAATTAAACTTGTAATATTATTATATTATAACTACATAATATTATGTTGTAACTCATTTACTTCATCACAAGCTTTGCTTAAAGAGTCTAATTATACAAAAATATTGAAGTTTATAATGTTGTATCTTTGTAATTTCATTGATATAATAAAAAAAAAATCATTATTATTACTATTGATATTGATATACCATACACCGCAACTATACTTACGCAGAGGTATGCTTTTTGTATTATAATATTTTAACGATGATTTATATATCGATTTGCATTATATATATTGTTGCGTACTTGTTTTATACTTTTATAGGTGAAGTCCTTTAGATTCTGATCGTAGCGATGAATGCTTATATTAAGATTTTACAATTATATGTTTTTGTGTGTATGTGTAGGTTACACGGC